GGAGTTCTCCTGGCTTCAGAGCGCTACCAGCCTGCTGCCATTCATCTCTTTGCTCAGCCAGACCAAGTCCCACCTCAGGGCTGTGCCAAAGCTCTGGAATTCATCTTTATTCATGAGGGAAAGTCATTCTCTGCTGCTTCCTAGATAAGCTTCGACCACAATTTGCTGTGAGTGTAGATATGAATCCAATAAATGGCTTTTTAATGCTCCAGTCTGCCAGTTCTGCAAAGCAGTGTGAGAATTGACCTGTTTTCTGTTTATTAGCCTTTCAAAGGGAGAGGAAATGAGAGCTCTTGTGTCACTGTTTTTCTTGCAGCTACTTCTGAGCCAGGATCTCCTAGAGGAGAGCTCTGAGTGAGGCTGGGGCAGCCCTTGGCTTGCTGGTGGGGTATTTGGCTTGCAGAGAGGAAGGCTGAGCTGCTGGATATGGGGATCTGAGCTTCAGCTTCCTTAGAGGAGTGAAGGATTTCTCCCTGCAGCCCTTCAGGAGATATTCAGCTCCAGAGAGCACTTCAGGGTCTGGCAAGGAAGGCCAGGGCAAAGCTGAGGGTGTGGGAGTCACAGTTAAAATAGTTAAAATGGGGAAAGACTGTCTTATTTTTAAAAATACTTATTTAATTTTTTTAAGTTTATTTTTATAATGACAAACCGTTATAAAAAATAAACTATCCTTAATTGGATAAACTGTCCAATTAAGAAATGACACCTCAGTTATTTTTACTTTTAACCCAATAACCAACCACCCATGGCTGCAATGGGGACTTTTTTATCCAGTTACACAAAACCACCCAAACCCATGGAGAAGAAGGAGGAGAATGTGAAGGACCAGGCTCCGCCCCAAAACCTCCATCTTGCTTTATATCCATTACTGTATTCTAAACCCTCAAACTCCGAGTTTCCCACCCTGTGATATCACACACTTCTATCCAAACTCCACACCCACAATCCCAGTTCTATCATTCCATTTTGGAAGCTTCTCCAGGGCCTCAGGTCAATGCAGTGTTCTCTTGGGGGTCAGTGCCTGGCAGCACAGAAATCTGAAATTCTCAGCAGCCAATTCCAACAATATCCTAACCATGACTTTAAAAACTGCACCTGTGACACCCAGAGAGGTGGTAAATGCTGCTGGCTTGGAAAAGCCACACATTTATTTTTATACAGCTCCTCCAGGTTCACCTGGAATCCTTCCTAAAGCAAAGCACAGCCTCTAGCAGTGTGCATCCCCTGGTTTTTGGGACAGGCAGGTGAGCAGAGCAGTTGTTTTGATAGAAATGGAGAGTAGGTGTGTTTATAACTCATTGGCGCTTGCTGCGCTGGGTGAGGATTGATAAATACTTTTGTATCCTCCCTGCAGACACTGAGTGGAAGGTAGAACACAACAATATATTATATTATATTATATTATATTATATTATATTATATTATATTATATTAATAATTTAATTAATTGGGAAGCATTTATTAATCCCCAAACACAATCTGATCAGGTCAAACTTGTCCTCTTTGCTGCATCCAAGTGATGCCACAGGGAAGAGAGGGATTCCCTTCCATCAAGGCAAACTGCAGCTCTTTCTGTCCTCAGATGGATTTTTGCCTGCCAAGCCCCCAGTCCCAGCAGTTTTCCAAGATAAAATCTGTCGCCATGATATTTTCTGAAAAATCCCTTTGCCAGGATTTTTCTCCTGAGAAGCTGAGAAGCCTCAGAGGGAAAGGAAAACATTGATTATCTGCTGCTGTGGAATGCAACAGGTGCATCTGTGATTGGTCCATGTTGGTTGTTTCTAATTAATGGCCAATCACAGTCAGCTGGCTCAGACTCTCTGGTCAGTCACAAGATTTTATTATCATTCCTTTCTGTTCCTTTCAAGCCTTCTGATGAAACCCTTTCTTCTATTTCTTTGGTATAGTTTTAATATAGCATTTTCTTTTACTATAATATATACCATAAAATAATAAATCATCCTTCTGAAACATGGAGTCAAGATTCTCATCTCTTCCCTCATCCTGGGACCCCTGTGAACACCACCACAAAACTCTATCAGTTTGGGAGGAAGAAAAGCATTTTCTGGAAGGCTATTTAGTAAATGTTGTCTGTGTGCAGGGTCAGATGAAAGGGCACGAAGCTTTACCTGAACTTGTGATGGGATTATTACAGCACTGGACTGTGCATGCAAAGCATTTGGCAGGTGTCAATCTTTCATTGTGCCTATTCTTTAAACTCCAGTTATTCTCTTCTGCTCACTAAAAATTACTGATTTTCATGAACTGCAGATAGTTAGCACAAGAAAGATCCAGAACAGGGTGCCCAGAGAAGCTGTGGCTGCCCCTGGATCCTTGAAAGTGTCCAAGGCCAGGCTGGATGGAGCTTGGAGCAACCTGGGACAGTGGCAGGGATTTGGAATGATCCCAAATCATTCCAATGATGAATGGAATGATCATTTGGAATGATCATTTAGGGTCCATTCTAACTCAAACCATTACAATATTTACTGATTCTCACAGGCACTTCCAGCCAGAGTTCTGCTTTCCATTCCCTTCTTTATTTATTGCAGAAATATTTTCAGCATGTCTGGGACAGCAATGAGGAAGATTGGTGTGGTAAGAGCTATCAGGCAGGTGCAGGGTGTGTTTACAGAAGCAATAATTTGTAAAAATACACTTTATGTGTCTTGCAAGGCCAGTTTAACTTTCCTTTTATCAGGAAAAGAAAAAAGCTTTTTATACAAAAGTGAGCACCTAAAAGCTTTCTTCACACATCACAGGTGGTGCTGAAAAATGTCAACAGAAAAAAAGATACAGATCACCAAAACTCTCAGAGTGCATAATTCAGGGCATTTAAAAAGCCATCTGATGCTATCAGATAGCTTTTATTTTGTATTATAACCTATCATGAGGTAATGGCTGCACTCCAATTTATTGCACTTGGTGGAGGGAAAGATTGCAGAACGTGAAATATTCCACCATGGAATCATTTTCCATGGAATATTTAATATCCTGCCCCTGTTGGAGCTGCTGGCTGTTTGGTGGGAGATAAGTGTGAGCTGTGAGAGCTGAGCTGGGCACCTGATACCAGGACCTGAAACCTGACTTTGATGAGCTCTGCACGGTGGAGATACCATCAGTTATTCCCTTTTTCAGGCTCTGATAAACTCAGCTCAGGACTTCATTATTTAAAAAGTTCAGTTTGTTCAGGGAAGAAGAGGGGAGGAAAAACCTGTAAAATCACTTTGAAAGCCAGCTCAGCTAAGGGTTCTTTCTCAGCTTCAAAGCATTTCTGTGTGCTCTCTATTGATCCGAGACAGATCTGCCTGCTGATGACACCAGCCCTTTCCTTAGCTCAGGGAGTACAAGATGATTTAAAGGAGGAATTTGGGTGTAATTACCAACAAGTGCAGCCTGACAGGGGTTCTCATAGGCACTTGAGGAGTATTTCCTCAACATTTTGTCACCACTTTGTTCCTCAGACCCCAGACTCCCCTGTGGGGTTGGTGACCTCAACAGCTCATGAGTCACATTTGGGGGAGTGTTTCCATCTGATGTGCTGTTAAATGTTAAATAACATTTATTATGGGACAAACAACTGAGAGCAGAGGTGCTGGAAGCAGGGAGCTCTGCTGACAGCCCATCCATCTCACCCAGGCAGCAACTGAAGTGCCTGGCTCTTGGAAATATAAAGCAGGGGGGAAAATGTCAAAATTCTGCTAAGAACTCTAAAATGGTGACATATCAATGTAAAAATGTGTTTGAGTCCTTTTTTGTTTTTTAATTCAAACCTGCCAACTCCTTTTGGCTTCAGCATTAACATTACATGATCCAGCAGTGCAGCATGCATGGGGTGTTATTAATGCCTTTTGAGAAATAAAAGGACAAAATTAAAACATTAGAAATCTGTGGAAAGGACATGGTATTTTTTCTTTTGATTCTACCCAGAAAATCTTCAGGAATGCCTCATTTTGACAAACCCCTGTGTTTTCTCCCTGTGTTGGTTATTTCATCACTCCCAGATTGAATGTGCCACCTTTCCTCACTCCTCTCCTGGCCACAGCACTGTCCCTGCTCAGCCTCTGTCACGGACAGATTTTATGAAAAATCCTTTCCTTAGGATTTTTTCTCCTGAGAAGCTGAGAGGCCTCAGGAACAAAATGTAAACATTGATTATCTGCTGCTGTGGAATGCAACAGGTGCATCTGTGATGGGTCTCATGTGGTTGTTTCTAATTAATGGCCAATCACAGCCCAGCTGTCCAGACTGTCTCAGTCAGTGACAAGCCTTTGTTATCATTCCTTTTCTATTCTTAGCTAGCCTTCTGATGAAACCCTTTCTTCTATTCTTTTAGTATAGTTTGAATGTAATATATATCATAAAATAATAAATCAAGCCTTCTGAAACATGGAGTCAGATCCTCGTCTCTTCCCTCATCCAAAGACCCCTGTGAACACTACCACAAGCCTCCAGAAGTGTTCTGTGTTTCCCTTTTTAAGAAGAAAACTGCTTCTGGTGAAGGCATTTTGGTCCTTGACCCCTTGATTGTCACCTGTGTCCCCTTCCTGCTGTGAGAGCTGCACAATCACTGCAATGGGGCGGAAAAGATGATGGCATTTGGGGGAAACACAGAAGGAAAGGGACGATGTCTCACAGGTTCAGATCAGGTGTTTTACTGCATCAAGGGCAAGGAAGAGAGATATTTAATTAGGGATTTCTGCCTTTTTAAACTAGGGGAAGACACTGTTCTTGTATCAAGCCTGATTTGCCTTTTTTTTTTTTTTTTTTTTTTTCCCCTTATCTCCTGTTTTATCCATACTGATTTCTGGAAAATTACAATGCTGAATTTTAGGGATTGGGGGGAGCTAAAAGCTGAGTGTTTAAAGGAAATATTTAGGGGTGTTTCATTCTCAAAGCTGCCTGTGCTGGGGTGAGGGGCTCTACACACCTTTGCAGAGCTGCTCTGCTGCATCCGGCACTCCTGAGTGCTCCAGCATCTGCTTTTGTCTCTTCCCCAGGCTGCAGGAGGCAGTGGGACAACATCACATGCTGGCCTGAAGCAGAGGTGGGAGAAGTCGTGGTACGGCCGTGCCCCAAGTACTTCAGGTTCCTGACCTCCTACCTGGGTAAGCAAATCCCAAATCTGCTCCACAGCTTCACTCCCAGGGGGGTTTCTCATCATTCCACGGGGGGAACATCTCAATAATGAGGGAGAAACCAGCTCTGAGCACGAGGTTGTCGCCACATTTCTCTTCACAGAGAAAAGCAAGGCTCAATTCTCCCCAAGAATATTTCTGAGTTTCACATTCTCTGAACCTCAGAGAAAGGAAAAACAATTCTTATAATTTGCTGTGCCTGTGTTTGTGCAAAAGTAGAATGCAATATGGAGATTGTTTACCCAAAGTGATGTGTTTTGGTTCCTTGGCCTGTTAGGGTCAGGTGTGTGACCCCACATTTCTCTTCCCAGAGAAAAGCAAGGCACAATTCTCCCCAAGAATATTCTTATCTTATTTTCTGTGCCTGTTGTGCAAAAGCAGAATGCAATATGGAGATTGTTTACCCACAGCGATGATGTTTTGTTTCTTGGCCTATCAGGGCCAAATGTGTGTGTGAGTTGGAACTGTTGGGTGACAGTCACGAGATTCTGTGCAGTTGTTTGCAGAGCGGAGTGCTTGGTAGATTCAGTTTAGATGTAATGCAACATAATATAGAATAATATAGTATAATAAAATAATTAATTAGCCTTCTGATATCAATGGAGTCCTCCTCATCATTCCTCCCTGCCATGGGGGTTGTCCTGTTTGGATATGAGGTGAAGGAGGTTTGGATATGAGGTGAAGGAGGTTTCCAAGTCATTCATGAATTCCCAAACATCAAAACATCCTCCCTGCACTTGCAGCAGCACTGCTGTGCACCGCAGGGATGCAAAAATGGCTCCTGGTGAAATCCAATAATATGGATGTTGTGCAGTGAAAATTGAATCAACCTGTGGGACAGTTGTGTTTGTTGTGCAAAATGAGCAGTTTAGCACAATCATTAATTAAGTCTCTGACAGAAAATGAACAAGCTGGAACTGGATGTAATAAAGTTGGGGGTTTTTTTCTGCTGGAATGACAAATCTGACCACAGGCCAAGGAAATAACCTGACAAATAATGAGCAGGGGAGGTTAATGGAGGAGGTAGGTTAACTCACTGCTCAGGGTGTTCTCAGAAGCTTTAGTTTAAAACTCAGGTTTCAAGGGGCCATGCAGCAACAGCGCTGATTGTGCCTCCTGGTAGTGCACAGTTATTTTTCACTATTTTTATTGTAGAAGCCCTGAAGGCCTTAACAGAGAATTAAGTTCTTTTGCACTGGAGATCCTGTATTGAGCTGACCCTCCATTTCTAAAGCCTGTAGTGCAAACACACAGGATAAATTAGGAATGGGGGTAGGGGCACAATATCACCCCTGTTCTACTGGCCTGGACACGGCACGCATTAACCAGCACGTGCTGATTACATGACCTGCCCAAGGCCACACCAAAATTCTTTGCAGGCACAAAAGGGAAATTCAAAATCCTTTGAATCCTATCCTGCATATTCTTTTCTTTTTTTTTTTTTTTTTTTTCTCTGTCAGGGTCAGGATTAAATGTGTGAGATGGGATTTCTTGTTGGGACTCAGATGTTTATCAGTTTTTATCTCTGTCACACTCTCACAAACCCTGAGTTCTGCAGCACTTCACTCTAACAAACTAAAAATGGAGCCCCATCTCTCTCTGCAAGGCCTTTGAAGCATCAACTGTCCAATTAAGAAATGACACCTAAATTGTTTTTACTTTTAACCCAATAACCAACCACCCATGTCTGCAATGGGGATTTTTTTTTGTTCAGTTACACAAAACCACCAAAAGCCATGGAGAAGGACAAGAAGAAGAAGAAGAAAAAGAAGAAGAAAAGAAGAAGAAGAAGAAGAAGGTGAAGGTGAAGGTGAAGGTGAAGGTGAAGGTGAAGGTGAAGAAGAAGAAGAAGAAGAAGAAGAAGAAGAAGAAGAAGAAGAAGAAGAAGAAGAAGAAGAAGAAGGAGCAGCCTCCACCCCAAAACCTCCATCTTGCTTTATATCCATTACTCTATTCTAAACCCTTAAACTCTGAGTTTCCCACCCTGTGATATCACACACTTCTATCCAAACTCCACACCCACAGTCCCAGTTCTGTCATTCCATTTTGGAAGCTTCTTCACGGCCTCAGGTCAGTGCAGTGTTCTCTTGGGGGTCAGTGCCTGGCAGCACAGAAATCTGAGATTCTCAGCAGCCAATTCCAACAGTATTCTAGCACTGACTTTCTCATTTCCAAAATTCCCTGTTAGCTCATTATTCCTGTCTCAACACCCAGGGAGAAGAGGCAGAAGCTGCTGTTATATCACATCTTGCAGGACAAGACTCCTGTGCATGGGATCAGTTGTGTGAAATAATTTCCTGCTCTTCCTGCTCTCTGCCCTCTCCTGAGCACAGCATTCACTCACTGGGTTTTATATAGCAGCAGAGTTAGTAAAACACCAAGAAAAATCTCTTTAAAATGTCTTTTAGTACATTATCTCACCAGAGCTGAGTGCTGAGGAGAATATAGTGTATATTTGATTTTATATAGAGGTCAAGCAGTGGAACAGACTGCCCATGGAAGTGCTGGATTCATTGTCCAGGGAAGTGTTCAAAAATAGGAATGTGGTTTAAATGTGCACCTGGCAGGGCTGGGTTAATGGTTGGACTTGATGTTCTTAGAGGCCTTTTTAAATCTCAGTGACTGTCTCTGAGCTGGTTTTATGGTCAGAGATGAAGATCAGGTTTTTAGATCTGGTTTTTAGATTCCCACTCCAGGATGAGTTTAATACCATCCATAAACCACATATTTCTCTCCATTTGCAATCAAAATATTGTAGAGTGGCTCTGCCAGATGGGAATGTCATCCAACAGGATTGAATTCCACCTCAGCAGAGCACCAACACAACAACTGATGCCATTCCCAAAGCAGAAGCAGCTTTGATTCTCTCTTGATTCTCTCTGAGTCACTTTGTACACAACCATCAACAAACAGGGAAAGCAGTGATGGTCTTAAATAGAGGGAGGGGAAGATTGCCTCCTGTTTTATAGGATTTGCTGCAAAATTAATGCCATTAAATGTTGTGAAGCAGCTCTTCCTTTGTAGCAGTGAGTGTCATTGAGCAGCTTTCAAGGAACTCAATCATCTGGGTAATGTTTGTGTTGTACTCTTTGATCCCTTTGCAGGAACAGGGAAGCTTTTATCAAGTTGTGAGCCAGAGAAAATCTTTTTAATGTGTTTATAGGAGGAAAAGAGTGAAATACCGGGGAACAAAGAGTTAATGTGATTTTCCTGCCTCATGGAGAATAAGCTGTTCAAATGACTAATATCCCATCTCATGGTTAATAAAGGATAAAATGTCTTGTGGCATTTTAAAACCTTAAACTGTCCTGATGTCATTTGACATTAATTTTTTATGGCATTCACAGATCCAGAAAATTTTCATTATTTCATGACGTTCATCGGTGCCATGTGAGGGAGATGGATGAAAATATTTTTGGCACCTTTCATTATTAAAGTGCATTGCTTTCCACCCCTTGACCAGTGTGTTCCAGCTCTCTTTCCACACGTGGAAGATGACATTTGTAATAGGGATTTATGTCCCACAGTTTCTCCAAAAGCAAATTGTCCACCATGCACAAATTAAATTAGCACTGACAGGTTTTAAGCTTCAGCTCTGGGATTAATTGGCCTAAGGGGGTGGGGATGGGCCCAACTAAGCTCTGGAATCCCACTCATAGAGGTGAGATCCATCTAAGTTTTGGGCTTGCCAAACTCCTTTTTCCCTTGGGTGTTCTAAATTTATTTCCCCTTTGCTTTCCCCTCCTTCGTGAACACTTTTTATTCTGCATTGCTTCTGAAAGTGGAGCAAAAATTGAATAAAATGAGGATACGGATGAGCAGAGAGCAGCAGATGAGCAGAAGACAACACCATCTCTCTAAAGAACCCCAAAATGAACCATACCCATTATTTATTTGCTACAAATGGTCATTAAAATACCCAAGAAGTTGAGTGTGGTTTTTTTGGAGTTCTCTTCACTGAGAACCCTTGACCTGCTCAGGTTCTCTGCTGTCCACATGTGCCTTCATGTCAGAAAGGTAAAATTACCAGAAAGGAGAAAAGGAGGCTCAGAGCAGGCATCACCATCCCTGGAAATGTTCAAAAATGTGTGGATGTGGCACCTGGGGACATGGTTTGATGGATGTGTAGGGTTAATGATTGGACTTGATCTTTTAGAGAGCTTTTCCAACCTAAACCATTCTATGATTCCATGATTTATTTTGCACCTGAGGTGTCACAATACTTGTCCACACTCCTCTGAAGGATTGGGGCTACACCTCCACCTCTACCCAAAAATGTGCATCTTTTTTATCCTGAATGTTTCCTGGAATTCTGTAATTGCAGGATCAAAAGATCTAATGAGAATTTTGTCCTGAAATTTGACAGCTCTGTTTTTAGGATGAAAAAACAGTTTACAAAAGGTGCCTAATCACCTAATCAAGGGGAACATTGTTATTGTTAAGAAAGGGGGAATTATCTGTAATAAGGATCAGGATCTTCACTCTTAGAAGTGAAATATGCAGGAAGGGGAAAGTAAAATAAGGCAAAATTGAGTTTTGCCACAAAAACAGGGTGCAGGAACTTTCAGGGCACTGGACATGTGGCAGCAATATCTGCAGGCCAAGTGATGTGAAAAACAAGAAAGGGAGAAAAAGCTAAAAAATTAAGGCTCTACTATGACACGAAGCTATTAAATACAAAAATATAAAATAACAATAAACAGTGGGCAGAAATTGTACTGAAGGAATGACATTGTGAGACCACAGCTGAGGCAGAGGAAGCAAATTGGGAAATTATCCTGTCATGACTTTCCCCACAAGTTTTTCCCAGGCGCAAGCACTTCAGCATCCAGCTAAGTGAAAGCTGTCTGCAAGTTTCAAGTGTTTCCCAGATCAATAATGAAAATGAAAGCAGAGATGTGCCAGTGGGCTCAGCAGTGTCTCAGGAATGGTAAATAATAAAAATGTTACTGCTTTAATAGTTTCTGCTTGAAAAAATCGATTTATGTCCGTGGAATATGGTGCTAGAGAAGCAGGAGTGATTGCTGGGCAATCAGTCACCACCTTCCCCTCTGTTTTAGAAGTGGTTACAGAAAAGGGCAAGAAAGCAAGAGGGGGGCAAAACCCAACACCCCTGAGCCATGATTGACCTCAGATCTCTTTGTCTGAATTCAAACTCCCATTAAAAGCCAATAAGAGGGTTTTTTTCCAAGAAGATCAAAGAGGTAAAACTTCACCCGTAACATGAACTTTCAGACGTGTCTCAGAGTTTGAAGGGTGTGTTTGAAACAGATGAGAGGCAGAAAGAAATTAAGTAGGAGAAAAAAAATTGAGAGCAAGACAACAGCTCAGTGCATTTATTCAGTTCATCTATTCAGTGTTTAACTCCCACCCAGATCAAACACTTCTGATAAAGAAAATGTTCTGGTTTTATCTCTGCTCCACAAACCCCTCCCTTTTCTTCTGCTGTGTCATGAATAAATCGTGGCAGGAAATTCCTCTCAGTGACAGCAAGGAGGTCTCGTGGGAGGTTGGAGCTGGGTTTTAGGGTCCCTTCCAACCCAAATCATTCCTTGATGGTTTCATGATTCTGAATTCTGGGACAAGATTTGCTTGTGCAGCTTCCATCCTTGAAGAATTCCAAGAATATCCAAAAGGCATCTGGCCATGCTTCCATTTTAGGTGACCACACCTGAGCAGGGGTTTGGGGCCATATGATCTCTAGAGGTCCCTTCCAACCTCAGCCATTCTGGGATGCCATGAAAGCAGGAACTGAGCTCTTGCAAGGCATTATGAGGTTATTATTAAAACAAATGAGAGTTAGTCGTGGCTTTTTCAATTTTTTTTCAATAGAAAACATCACCTCATTTTTTTTAGGAACAGTCATGCCACTTTGACAGTGGTAACATTGATCAAAATAAATACAAACCCCACAAAAAAACCCAGATTAATTCATGGCCTTAACTAATACCATGAGAATGAGGGGACTCTGCTCTCACCAGGGACTTTCCTCTTCTTTTTCCAAAGCACAGAGGAGAGCCTGGAGCACAAACTTCAGGCACTGGGATGCTTCCCATCTCTCAGTGTATCTCCTCAACTCTGCAGTGCTAAATACATGTAATTATAAACCCCTGGTCTCCTTTCTCATTAAATATCCAGGAGTACAGTTTGAAAATTTTAACTCCAGTCTGATCGGAAATGGGAAAATTTGGGAAATCTAGTGGGCTTTGAAAGGCTGGAGATAAATTCCAAGTACAGAAAGTTTGTGTTTTCTGCTTCTGTCATTTTCAATGTACTCCATTGGTGCTTATTTTAGGGAGAACTTGTGTTACAGAAATTGCTGAGAAACAGCTCTGGAAAAAGGCAAATACAACTTCTGGTGCTTTGAAAATTTTGCTTTTCCATTGACAAATAATTAGACTTTATGACCAAAGTCTGGAAAAAACAAGAGCCAGTGAGACCACAAAAAATGTCTAATTTTTATCAGGGATCTGCAGCAGAGCTGGGATTTGACATTGGAACATAAAAATCTGTGTGATACTTCAGTCTAACCTGAGCCTGTGAACCTCAGAGGAAAGCTAAGCTTGTGGGGCACTTTCCCAAATTTTATGCTCATTTTCAATATAGAAAGTGATATTTTAAGTAGAAGTAAGTAGAAATGTTATTTGGTCTGAGGACAGACATCATCCATTACTTGAGGCAAATTGTGTTGTGATCAAATCTTTATTTTCTAATCTTTTACTTTTTGTACCTCTCAGACGTCAGGTGAACATGAGAGGTTTTAGAAAGTTCTTTTGTATCACACCATGTGTGTGAATTTCACATCTAAAAGTGACATGAGCAGCAAAGGGTGGCAGAAAATCCTCTCTGGGAAGTGAGTTTCCCTAAAATCACAGTAATTTTTATTATTATTTTTTTAATCCCATTGATGCTTTGTCATTGATTTTCCTTCTACCTTGGTTTCCACATCTGCTAAAGCATTGGGACAATTTTTGTAGGTATTGAGAGAAGTGAGGGTTTTTAAATAATCATAAAATTGTGAGGAAGTGCAATTGAAAAGAAACAGGAGAAAAATAAGCTGAAAGAAGCACACCTTACCTCACTGAGAATAAGAAACAAAGATTGAAAACCACCGTGAAATCTTAAGCCATCCCCAAACAGAGTTTTGAGCAGGAAATGGGAAGCAGGGAAGTTCAGATAATGGGATCCATTGTAACAAAGAAGAAATAACTGAAATTGCATAACTCAGAAAAGCTGAAAGCACCCAACAGTCGTGTCCTTGATTTGTTTGCACAAGATCCTTTATGATCCTGATATGAACCCTGGTGGAAGGAACTGCAAACAGTGGCCATGCAGGGAAAGCCTGGGCCAGCAGCCCATGGAAAATGAAGAAAGGCACCTTTGAGAGCCCTCCCTGTGAGATTCACAGACTCTGAACCTGAGAGAAGCAGAGAAAGGAATGATTTTCCAAAAAAACCAAATCTTATCTCATTTACTGCTTCTGTGTTTTGGAACATGTCGGATGTGCTGGAAGATTGTTTACCTGAAGGAATTTGCTTGATCGGATTCTGGTGTGAGTGTTTTGTTTTCTTGACCAGTCTCTGCAAACTGTGTTCTGATGGTTGGTCAGGAGATTTGGTTGAGTTGGGTGCTTGTGCAGTTTCAGTTTAGATGTAGTGTAATATAGTATAGAATAATAATATAATGAAGTAATTAATTATCCTTCTGATATCATTGGAGTTCTCCTCATCATTCTTCCCTGCATTGGAGGCCCTGCTTTTACAATACCTCCCAGATTCAGATCTGCTGCAAAGACAGATTAGAGGGGCAAGTTTAATGTCAAAATCCATCTGTGACAGGGATTGGAGAAGTGACTTCAGGCAGGGGACTGTTCTCAGTGCAGAACAGGCCCGTGGTTGGGAAGATGCTCAGATGACTCAAGTGTCAGAAATTGCTGGAGGTGATACTCAAATATTTTTGTGACTCACAGCTGCGTAATTGATTTGGTCGCATTTGCAGGAGTTTTCTTACTCTTGTGTGCAAAGAGCTCAATTGTTGGAAATGTTTGCAAAGCTCTTTCAGCTTCACTGGTGTCATTTTTCACCAAGGTTTGACTTCTGTTTGTTCATTCTGGTGTATTGACCAGTTTTCCAGTTTTGTGAGGTGAATGGCACCAGAGGAATGCCCAGTAATGGGATTTTAGTGAGGTGGGCAGGGTGGGCACTGGTGGTCGGGGAAGGTGCTGGGGGAATTTACAATGTGCTGATGGGTGCATTTCTGTTTTATTATTTTTTGACAAACCCATATCTTGGCCTTTTAGCCCACAAACCTCTTGGGATAAGGCTTGTCCTGTGTGCTCTCTCCTCCTTTGGCTGGATTAAGCTGCTGTGGGTTTGAGGTCCAGCTGGGACAGGGAGCAGGGATGTTTTACAAAGTGAGAAGTGCTTTGCTCTTACAATCCTGGATGGATCAGGCAGCTCTGAGTACCAAAGAGCCATGTTAACTTCAGTTTTGACAGTTTGGCTGAGGGAGTGAGATGTTCTTGTGTTAATTAAAGCTCTTTTGAGCTGATCAGAGGCCCCAGGCACTCAGCGAGCTTGACAGTCCAGGAAATCTTCCTGCCCTGGAGTGTGCAAGTTGAAACAGGCAATACAGGTTGTCAGTGTGTGGATTTTCTCCCTTCACAGCCAAATTTTGAAGTGTTTTGCTCACAAACCAGAGTGCAGTACGTTGCAGGAATCAAATTTGCTCAGGGCTCAGTTGTAGGCAAGGTCTGGGTGTGGAGGACTGGATTTGGTTCCCAGACCCCCAGCCTTATCTGCATGGTGCGAAACGAGCCCTTTATCTATCCCTGTCCTGGCTTCTCACAGGCACAGTGAAAGGCATAAATACTTCACTGCTCTGTTTAGATAAAAAATTTTCCAGGAACAAAGTCAATGTGACAATAAAACATTCAAACAATACTGGTGCAGTGCCAGGAACCAAAGGTCTGGGTACAACTGGCAGCATGGTACCACTTGAAGGGATGTTTTGTGTGCACCTCTGTATTAAAATGTACTTTTCTACTGAGGTCTGGACTTTAAACAGAATAGATGCCTCCTATTTATGAGCTCTGTGTAATATGAAAAATTAATAACAGGGGAAAAGCATGAGAGTTTTTCTCTAAGTGTTACAAGAATTGTGTTTTGGCATTTATACCTCAAGAGGCAGGAGTTGTTTTAACAGTGAGCTGAAGGTTTCTTTTTAAATAATGTGGTTTTTTTTCTTTCCTTCCAGGGAATGTGACCAGGAATTGTACAAGCCAGGGCTGGTCAGATGTGTACCCTGCACCCTACGCTGTAGCTTGTGGATATGATTCCAACAGCACTCCAGGGGAAGAGGTTTGTAAACCTGGGTGGGTGGACATCAAGATTTAACAGGGATCAATATCAGAATTGTACGGTCCTCCCATGCCTTTCTTTTCCCATTCCCCCTCTGATTCCTCAAGAGGGAAGGATCCTCTTGAAGATCCTTGAAAGCAGAGTTCAAATGTTTGGCCAAGGAAATTATCTTCCCTTTAATGTCATAAACTTGTGGAATTATGGAGTGGTTGCGTGGTTCCAGTTGTGGGTTTCTCTGGGTCTGGATTGAAGGCACTTGAGATGTTATTCCATGTTCACACTCAGGTGTTTATTATTTCTTATCAGTAAAACAGTCTCACTGCTGGGAGTTCAGCAGCTTTTCATCAGAAGGCACAAAATGGCCAACAATCTCTTGTTCCAAGGCCTTTTCAGACTAAACTATCCAATTGAGAACTGACACCTGGATTATTTTCCCTTTTAACCCAATAACTGATCCCACAGAGCTGCAATGGGGACTTTTCTGCCCAATTACAAAATGCCACCCAAACCCATGGAGAAGGAGGAAGAAGCAGCATGAAGAAGAAACCCAGGATGACACCCTGTGCCCTCCATCTTGCTGCCATCCACAACACACTAAAAACCCCAAACCCTCAATTTCTCACCAAGTGACACACCCACACAGCTCTCTATCATCTATTGCACACTTTTGTGGGTTCCAGTCCATCTGGAAGTCTGGGAAACTTTCTCCATGAGTGAGGGTCAGAGTCAGTGCTGCCCTGGGGGTCAGGGCACCCCAGAGCAGACAGAGAAATATTCCCAGTGCCCTGGGTTTCTACAGCTTGGGATGGAGGGGAACTTCAGGATCATCCCATCCACCCACTGCCATGGGCAGGGACACCTTCCACTAGACCAGGCTGTTCCAAACATGGCCTTGAACACTTCCAGGGATGGAGCATCCAAAATTTCCAGGATGTCAGGACCTGAGAAGATCAGATCATTGTCTATATGATGCCCACACATAACTTTAGGTGTTTATTTTCCACAGTGTACTTTGAAACAAGCCCTCCACATTTATATTTATGCTTAAGTAGATATGGTGGTTCCAGTCTTTCTATGGCAGAAGAAGCATCAAAACTCTAAAGGGATAAAAATTATGTTTTGCTGTTCTGCAGATCTCAACCATCTAAAAATCCACATCACTGTAGGAAACACATATTTTCAAAATTTTACTGAAATTTGATAGAAAATCCAAAAATTCTCTGGGATATTTTTTGTGTATAAATTAGCAATCACTGACCTGGGTATAATTAGCTTTGCAGAGCATTGTCATTCCACAGGAAGGAGTTTGTTACTGGTTTGCTGCATGCTGAGACATGAAGGGTAAAGTCTAAAGAGGATAACAAATGTTGGAAGCAAGATTCACCTCACCTAACTCAAAGTTCAGCATCTAATCTAAACTAATCACCTGAAGCAGTCCCACAGTCAACAAGAAAAAGCTTATGCATGGAAAGTTATACTTCACTGCAATCACATGTTGCATTATTTATGTTTTTATATAATAGCTTAATGTGTTTATATTAAACCTCTGCTCATGCTTTTTTTTTTTTTTTTTTTGCTGTTGCTGTTTAAAACATACCTCAGTGTTAGTGAATGTTGGACATAGGAATCTCAATAATTAATTAATATGTGTTCCCAGTATTTAAAGGGGTCTTACAAAAAGGCTGGAGAGGGATTTTTCACAAGAGCATGGAGTGATGGGACAAGGGGGAATGGTGTTAAGCTGAAGGAGGGCAGGTTTAGATGAGAAATTGGGGAGAAATTCCTCACTGAGAGGATGGTGAGGCCCCAGCATAGGTTGCCCAGAGAAGTTGTGACTGTCCCATCCTGGGAAGTGCCCAAGGCCAGGTTGGAGAGGGCTTGGAGCAGGCTGGGATAGTGGAAGGTGTCCCTGCCCATGGCAGCGGTGGAATGAGTTGATTTTTAAGGCCCCTTCCAACCCAAACCATTCTGGGAGTCTGTGACTCAATGTGGTGAGAGGTCTCTGTGCATGTTCACACATTGCCAAGGCACTCCAAGAGTTAACAGGGGATCTGAGCCAGCTCTGAGTGGGAAAGAAAACAGAAAAGAGCAAAGGCAGAGGTGCACAAAAAACTTGAACCCAGCACTTCACATCCTCAAGTGTCCTTCCCTCAGGCTGAGCTGTGTGCCTGCAGAAACCACAGCTCCAGCTCTGCTGGGCAAGGGCCCCCACCCTGAGCTCTGGTTGGAGTCCTGTACGAACCCAGGACATTCCTCTGCCTGCCCTGGAGGACTCGAGCCCCTGCCAAGGGGGCTCAGAGACCCTGGCACAGAGCCCAGGACCCCCCTGTGCCTTTGATTGAGCCCTTGGAAAAAACAGTTACCAACCTTATATGAAGAATCAAAAGCCATGATAGTTTAAGTAGAATGATAGTGAATTTACCACGGGGTGAAAAATAGATTTTTGGGGTTTTTAGAATGGAGGTTCAGGGGACAAGATGGAGGAATTGGGGCGTGTCCAGCCTTTCTCCTTCTTCTTCTTGGCCTCCATCTTCTGCTGTGATGTTGGCACTTTGGGATTGGTTTATGTGACGGTGTTCACAGGGGTCTCAGGTTGAGGGAAGAAACAAGGATTTGACTCAATGTTTCAGAAGGCTGATTTATTATTTTATGATATATATTACATTCAAACTATACTAAAAGAATAGAAGAAAGGATTTCATCAGAAGGCTGGCTAAGAATAGAAAAAGAAATAATTATAACAAAGGCTTGTGTCTTGGCTCTCTGTCCGAGCCAGCTGGGCTGTGATTGGCCATTAATTAGAAACAACCACCTGAGACCAATCACAGATGCACCTGTTGCATTCCACAGCAGCAGATAATCAATGTTTACATTTTGTTCCTGAGGCCTCCCAGCTTCTCAGGAGGAAAAATCCTAAGGAAAGGGTTTTTCATAAAAGATGTCTGCGACAGTTTAGAGTAGAAGCTCACTGTCTTAACACAGGTGATAGGTATTGGAAAGTAATTGTAAATATTGTACACGTAGTTTTTGTATAAAAAGATAACAACACCTCTGGGGTGGCCAGTGTGCCTCTGACTGTCCTGCCGAACGGACCTCAGCTGGACAGGAGAGAGAATTTTGTAGATAAGTTACAATAAACAACCTTGAGACTGAGAAATGAAGAGCTCTGACTCCTTCTTTGACTGCTGGTCTGGGAAAAGAGGCTTTCTAACACATCTCGGGGTCACTGTGACCAGCTAGAGACCACGAGAGGGTTCCTGCTGCACAGGGGATTTGGGAATTCCTGGGGCATGCTCCTGCCACCCAACAGCTTTCAGCAATGCCAGAGTGCTGTGTTACCAGGAGAACCTCTATTGTGTTCTTTTAATTCTTTCTTAATTATTTTCCTTTGCTTTCCACTGTTTTTTCTTGCTTTTTTTCTTCCAATTTGTGTGAAAGGTGGCTGAAGAGGGGGTGAACATGCAGTAGCAGCCCATGAAGAATAATAGATTTTTGTTTTCTTGTTGTTGAATTGGCAGTGAGTTTGGGGAGCAAGAAGTAAAGGGAGGAGAAAAAAAACAGCAGGCTGTACAGGACATGAGGTCCAGGAAAGACTGATAAGCTTCCAGGAGTTAAAAACTTCATGAACTTTTGGTCTCAGGTCAGAAACAGCAAGAAAAAAATATGAAAAAATAAATAAGAGCAGTGTGTGAGATTTTAGCTGTGAATTTTGGCAGTCCCTACAGCAGCAGATGATGGAGGCACCAAAGTGCTGCTCTTGGGGTCCATGCAGGGATGATGAGCCCCTCTCCAAGCTGACCTTTAGAAGTGGTGCATTAGCAAATGGGGAGTGGGGTTGTTATCCTGCTCCTCTGTCAGATGTGATGCTCTTCTCCCTGCTATGCTTCCATCTGCTCAGAGGGGCCACCCCAGTGTTATTGTGGTTTTATTTTGTTTTTTGCTTTGGTCAGGGTCAGGATTAAATGTGTAGGGATGCTATTTTATGTTTGGATTCAGATGTTTATTAATTCTTATTTTCATTGTAGTCTTATAAGTTGTGAGTTTTACAGTATTTCACTAATAAGCTACAAAATGGCTTCATATTTATCTCTATAAGGTCTTTTAAGGAAAAACTATCTAATTAAGAAATTAAATTATCTTTATTTTTAACTTAATAACTACTCGTGTTCCACAGTGTGGACTTTTCTATCTAATTGTAAAATACTACTTAAACTCATGAAGAAGAAGGTGAAGATGAAGGATTAGCTACTGCTTTAAAACTTCTATCTTGCCTTATATACATTACTATATTCTAAAACTTTAAGTTTTCCACTATGTGATGTCATACACTTCTATTTAAACTATACACTCACAATCTTTGTGTTATTAATCAATTTTGGAAGCTTTCTCTGTGGCTTCAGGTCAAATGCAGTGTTCTCTTGAATATTTGTGCCTGTCAGCACAGAAAGTCTGAAATCCTCAGTATCCAGGGTTCCAGCATCAGGTTTCTGATGGTTCAGGTTTTTCCTGAAAATGGTGAAATAGAGACACCTCCAGAGGTCAGTTCAGCCCACGTTTCTCCCCAAAGAAATTCCTTTTCATTTACTCTCAAGAGAAACCTGATGACTTTGGGCTGGATGACATGAACCCCAAAACACATGGCTCCTGAAAGACTTTATTTCAGTATTTCTCTTCTTTTCCTTTCAAAATTGTAAATGTTTCCCATTGTCATCCAAGGGACAAATATTGAGGTTACTGAATAGAAACCATGGAAAATAAATCTCAGTTAATCTCAATTTAGCACCTACCTCGAATAATTGTTATTATCACACTCCTGTTAAATGAAGCAGAAGCTTTTAGAAGTCAAAGAGACAATGATGAATTTGCCTGATTTCATTCTGTAAAACAGTCAGGCATCCTCCTGATGCATTGCCTCCACTTATCTACATCCCTTTCTTTTCTAATGAGAATATTTTACAGTCTGGACCCTGAGTGAAATTTCAATTCCATTTATGATCTTGGGTCAAATTCTGTGCTTTGATATCTCTGAAATAGGGACCAACTGTCATTAGCAAGTGCAGTGAAGAGTGAGAAGCCATTATGTGCAGTTTCCAGAGCAGAGATGATCCCACATCCTGCATTAAAGCTGCATGCAGCACCATCCCTCTCTGCACAAGAAGGAGTAATCACTATAAAATATGGAGAGGAAAGCAGGGAATTACTTGTTGGATAACACCAGGAGCTTTCTGTGGATAACTTGCTCCTGGGAATGACTCTAAGAAGCAGAAGGGCTACTTTGCTCTCCTAAATGAAGTGTGGGACAACCTCTTCCTCCTGCAGTCCCCTACCATGAACTTCATCTTTCTGCTGGCCAAGTCTTTCCTGGAACTGTTCTGCCCTGATGCCATCAAAAATAGAGATAATAGAGAAAGATTAAACATGAGGGAGGCTGACTGCTTTAATTAGAAAAGTCAGAGCTGCCTTTGGGATCCCAAACCCCAGGAAGGCTGGAAAGAAGATTTTATCTTGGAGGTGCTGGTGGATGAGAGGTTGGACACGTGCTGACCATGTGCACCTGTAGCTCAGAAATCCAATTGTATCCTGGGCTGATCCCACAGGGAAAGGGGGGATTCTGCCCCTCTGCCCCCCTCAGGTGAGGCCTCACCTGCAGAGCTTTATCTGGGCAAGGCCAGGCAGAGAAATTGTCCTGAAACCCTTGAATTATCTATTCAGAGTGACCCAAAGCTCTCAGTGACGTGGCTTTGAAGGACACGGTGCTTCAACCACCTCTGAGATCTGTGGTCAAAGATATGACCAGTGTTATCTCTGAAAATCTCTTGTTTTAACACCTCTCCAAGCTGGCTTGTGCAAATGCTAAAGGATTGCAACTCATCCCAGCCTCCCTGCTTCTGTAAAGTACCAAATACTTGTCAAAGCCTGGGAAAATAGCACATAAAAATGTCAACCCTCGATGTTATGGAAGAGTATTTCTCCAAACAAGGTTGGGTTTAGATTTTCTGCCTAACCTGCTCTTTATGGTTTTGGTTGTTTGGGTTGTTTATAGAAGATGGTGACAAGAAGAGCAGAGGAGGGTCAATCAAGAGCTGGAAAATATAAAATTTTCCATAAACTGAGTTAGATTCTTGTAAAAATTTAGGGGTTTTTTTAATTGATAAATGTCTAAATAATTTTACCTCTTGTATTTTTCTACTTTTTTTTTTTTTAAGGTGGAAATCGGTTGATTTAGAGTGTTGCTAGAGAGCTTTGGAGAGCTTATTTGCCCATTTTATTCAGACTGGGATTCCCTGTTGGATCCCAGCCCTGAGGTGTGCTGTGCTCAGAGATTCCCTCTGTGTGCTATCGATGAGAAAAACCATGAACCAATTTCCCACTTAACACATATTTCTGACTTAACAGTGAGAACGTTTTACTTGCCTAAACAACAGTGTAAGTCCCTCAAAAGCAAAAACGCAAACCAATTTCCCAGACAGTTCTGTCCTCAGACCTGCTTAATAAAATTAATTTCACTGCTCTCACCACATCAGACCCAGTGTCGTGCACTGTTTAGCTGAACATTGATCACTCCTGTTCCACGAGGTTTTAGGCTGGAGCTGTCTCTGCAGGTGCCAAATCAGCCTCCTTCCAGCAGGAACCTTTCCCTTGTGTAACTCTAACCTGGGTTTGGAGTGGTCCAAGCCCTGCTGCACCCAGATGAGTTCTCCACACTCACACTTGGTAGTGTTTGAGTCACGTTCATTACTGGATGGGATTTTAAAGGGTGAATGAGTCAGAGGTGTTCTAAGAGAAAAGAGAAGGATGATTTCCTTGTCCCAGCAGTCAGTGATGCTGTGTTTAGGATATTTTTGGACCTCTTTGAAAACTCTGTTTTCTTTCTTTCACACCAGCAAACGGCGTTCTACGGAACGGTCAAGACCGGCTACACCATCGGGCACACCCTGTCCCTCATCGCCCTCACAGCTGCCATGATCATCCTGTGTCTCTTCAGGTAAGGCCATCTGCAGAAAAAGGCTGAGGGAAGGGGCTCAGAGGCTGGTGATTTACAGGCTGTGTGGACATAGGACACGAAATAAGGCTGTGTCACTATAGGACGCGAAAAAAAATGACACGCACGATGGAATCACCAAGGTAAAAAGAAGGGAAGTTTAATTTCTGACTCTAACAGTTATAGACTTTCAAAAGTGACAGTGGATTGGAGGGTGAAAGTGTCACCTCTCCAATGACGCTGGACAAACCAACAGCCCATCAAATTTCTCCTCCTCCACAAAAGAATGCAAAACAATAGTTATTTACAGAAAAGTGTGTGAGAATCTTCATTAGAGGAATATAAACATCAGAAGGCTTAGAAGAACTTAGAAGAACAGGGCAACAGCTGTGCAGGTTTTGAGTGTCACAGGAAGATGCCCAAGATTTCTGTCAGTCTTGGATAGGGGAGGAAGGTTCCTGTGACTGTGTTCACAGGGGTCTTAGGATGAGGGAAGAGACAAGGATTTTGACTCCATGGTTCAGAAGGCTTGATTTATTATTTTATGGTATATATTATATTAAAACTATACTAAAAGAATAGAAGAAAGGATTTAATCAGAAGGCTAGCCAACAATAGAATAGGAAGGAATGATAACAAAGGTTTGTGGCTCGGACTCTCTGAGCCAGGCTGTCATTGGCCATTAATTAGAAACAACCAACATGGGCCAATCACAGATGCACCTGTTGCATTCCACAGCAGCAGATAATCAATGTTTACATTTTGTTCCTGAGGCCTCCCAGCTTCTCAGGAGGAAAAATTCTAAGGAAAGGATTTTTCATAAAAGATGTCTGCAGCAGGTACCTCCACCTTTCAGTGCCACTGTGTTTTGGTGTGTGATTTGTGACATTTGTGTGAGAGTTGTAACCCAAATCCCATCATTTAAGTGGATTCATCTCACCAAAGGCAGATTGTTCTATGATGGATCTCTCTTAAAGGGTTACAGTCCATAGTGTCCTGTATATGGATACCAGGGAATTTCTACCTAAAGTAGGTATTCAAAATGGTATCCAAAAATATTCAGGATCACAAAATCCCATAATTGTTGGGTTAGAAGAGACCTTAATGACCGTCTCATTCCATCCCCTGGGCAGGCACCCTCCACTGTCCCAGGTCTCTCCAAGCTCCATCCAACCTGGCCTTGGACACTTCCAGGGATGGAACATCCACAGTTTCTCTGGGCAGCCTGTTTCCTCCCAAAATCTTTTCCAAAACCACTTCCTGCTGTCACTCTATGGCAAGACAGAGACACCCAGGGCCATTTTAACTTGCTGGTGTCCCTGAGACGTGCACAAGTGTGGCAGAGAGGATGCAGGGCCTGCAGGAGACCCAGGGCCTCATGGATGGATGGATGGGCATTGGGATCCCCGACTGCAGCAAATGGATTAATTCTTGCTCTCTAAATTTTGCAATAGATTCAGGTATCTGAATTTGGGTGCCTCCAATGAAGATGTCTGCATCTATGTCATCTCTTATTGTAAATTAATTTATGCAAAGGGAGATGAGCAAAAAGCTGGGATGGAAGAGCCTTTTGGATGAGGTTCCATCCCCTCATGTAAGACAGAGCACATTTTCTAGAGTGACTGACACCAAGGCTGGCCTCACCCTTCAGGAACTCAGCACTTCTCTTCCCAGGTGCTCTCTCCACTGCTCTTACAATGGAGGAGTCGATCAGACACAACCAACAATCTCCACAAGGTACAAAGTGCCAGGCAGGCTGGTGAAACCATTGAGGAACCTGTTTTTCCTTGGTGGGAAACAGCTTAGCTTGACTTACCTTGGTCTGCAGGCACAGAGGACTCAGCTCAGCCCCATTATTTTGCCATCATCAGAGATCAGCAGCACAACCTCTGCCAGTGTCCATTGGCTCATTAAGAGGTGCTAATTTCATTGTGCTGCTGAGTGAGGTCTGGTATGGTTCTGGTGTCTCTAGAAAGCACCCATTTCCAGACAATCAGGCCTTCCACTTTAGCTGGTGTAAATTCTCTTTTGAAAAAAATTTCCCACTTGATTGGAATTAATCTTCAAAATATTAGCAGGCAAGGGATAGAAAAACTCTGGTGTAGTTCTCAGTATCGTTAACAACCAGTAATTTTAAAGTGAAAATATAGTTCATATTATTCTAGAAAGTCTGTAATATGTGTTAATTCCGGGAACAGATGCTAAGAATTTATTTGCCTGCTTGAAAAGACATTTCACTTTGAAAAGAATTACTGCAGCAGAAACATTCTTAAGAAAAAAAAGCACTTTATTGTGAGCACAGTCTCACAGAAAAAACATTTCTTTTCCAGTGGAGAGCAGTGAAATGGACCTGTTTTCTGTCATCCTGTATTTTTTCCTGTTTTTCTGAGGATTGAAAAAGCAGCAGTACTGCTACAGATACATGGATTGCCACATTCTGTGGAATTAAAGAGGCTTAAGTGGATTTGTGCTGATGTTCATCAGACCAGAGCCTGTCTCAGGGTTTCTAATGTTTAATTGGGACTCTATGTCATAGTAGAAGAAATGTGTAAATATAAAAAGAATGCTTTTGAGATTTGCTGTTCAGAAATGCGTCGTTTCTTCCCAACAGAAAACTACACTGTACTCGAAATTACATTCACATGCACCTCTTCATGTCCTTCATCATGAGAGCCATCGCAGTCTTCATCAAGGATGTCATCCTGTTTGAAAGTGGGGAGTCTGAGCACTGCTTTGTGAGTTCGGTAAGTAGCCTCGAAATTTCCACCTCATTTTGTTGCCACTCTTGAGCAATGCACCAAAAATTACCTTGAAAATGCATGTGAGGTGGTACTTTGGGAAGATTTCAAATCCTCTTCTCATTTGAAAGGAAAAAAAGAAAATCCATGATTGCTGCCATTTGACTTATATGGAGAAGCAATAAATTGATTATCAGAGTCCAGAATGTTTGTATTTATATTTTATATCTAATCCTTTCTGAAGTTAGACTTGATGGTCCTAGAGGTGTTTTTGAATCTTAAAGATTTTATCAGGTCAAATCCACAATGAGGTTGTACAGGACTGTGGGGCTCCTGTCAGTCCTGTGTCCATCTCCCAGCCACATGCTAATTTCTTGGACATCCTGGTCAAAGGAGGTTTCTGTTTAGGGATTCAATGAAACCTTTTCCTTCCATGAGGATGGGAGTCAGATCCAAATTCCCATAACAAATTTTAGTTATCTATGGGATAAGTACTTCCACATGAGCTGTGTGTGTTATGTGCACCCACAGACAGTGGGCTCTAATTAATCTGTTCCCTGGAGTCTGGAATGCTGTTCAGTCCTTTGGGAGAAGGCAATGTGGGTGATTCTCTGGGCTCCAGTGACCAGATCCCTGCAGGATTTCAGGCAGGAAATCTCTGTGCAGACACCATCATCATCATCCATTTTTCATCTGAATCGTATCCCACGCTCGCTGTCTGCAACTGTGAGATTTCCCTCCTGGGGTGATAAATAAGGGGTATAAAGGAGTTGGGTTATTTTTTTGCCTTTCAAACTCAGTGTTATCAGCTGGAGCAAACATTAGGGAGGGAGAAGGGCTGTTTATCTAAAGGCCACGCTGACGTCAGGGGACACCAGTCATGAATAAATTTAGGCAGGAAATGGAAATCACCAAAGTGAAGAGATGTGATCAGAAGTTATCCAAGGGAAAAAAAAAAAAAAAAAAAGGAAAACCAGGAACCCTCCATAGTAAATTCAGAGCATTAGATGAGCTGCTTGCTGATACTGATACCTCTGGACCTGCTTTTTATGTCATACACCGCCACATAAAAAGATTCTTTTCTTTTCTATCTGCCCATTTTTTCCTTGTTTTCTGGCTTTCCTGTGTCCTTACCCTGAGTCCTGTCCCTGCTGTTATAATGACCTTGAAACCCAGAGCAGCCTCCTCTCAGCTTTTCCCAAGAACTGTGTGCAGCATGATTCCTTTCCCTGTGTGCTCCCTCCTCTCTGTGATCCTCTCTGGATTCTTGGGATGGCATTTTCTTCTGAAGGTCCACAAATGGGTAGAAAGGCATAGAAACTGGAATAAATTGCCACAGGTTCATTGTCAATACCAATTGGCAGAAGATTCATACCAGGACAGGCCCTGGAGTGTGAACCAGCCTCTCATCCCTGTGGGAGTTTGCACTGGATTCTGCTGGATCCAGTGTTTGCTTCTCATCCATGCAGAAACATTTCTGGGTGTAAATACAGAATTTTCATGCAGAATCCAGAGTACCTGCACTTTCAGGGTGCCCCATGGCTACAACATTTTTGTGTTTCTCGCCATCAGAAGATTTTTGAGTTCATTGCCAGCTCAGGTGAATGGCTGGGTGGTAAATACCAGTTATAAAATTATGTGGGACAAGCCTGTCTCCACCACATTAGGCTGAGCATACCCCTTGCAGTCTTGAACCAGCATTTTGGACAACTTTTTAGGTCAAAATCTGAAAACACTGACACAAAATGCCTCTCCTAACATTAATCTGTTAGGAAAAAATGTTGTAAAATCCACTGTGTTCCTGTGGGGTTGGTTGGGTTGGGTTAGGTTGGCTTGAACTAAGTTTGTTCTTTGAACTTGCAGGATAAAGCTGGGCTTGGGAGACCTGGTGCTAATTCATATAGTCAGGATTTTATACACAATTCACTGAAGGCTGTGTGTGTGTAATGTTTGTACACAATTCACTGAAGGCTGTGTGTGTCATGGATGTGGCCTTGAGCTTCTTCAGTCTGGGGAGAGATTTGAACAAACAATTTGCTGAATGCTCTCACTGCTACTCTGGTTTAGAACAGGGCAAACCCAAAGCAGTAAAAGTGGTTCATTAGAAGAAAAACACCACACTCAGTTCCTTTAGGGAATGAAAGGGTAAAGACAGAACAGATTTAGGGCTATAAAGTCCTAATGAATAGAAAACTCTCCCAGCATTTCTGATGAAGGAAGAAAGTCCTCAATTTGATATTACCTGCTGCAGTAAAAGACTTTAAATTATGTTTTGTCCTCCAGCCACATAAAAATACATTAAACTCTCCACCAACAAATGTGTCAATGCTTTAATCAAGTAGAAACTCCAACACAGAAAGATGTATAAGTAATAAAACCCTCTTTTTTAATAGGCTTTACTGTATTTTTATTTAATTTTACCTAGTTTGGGACACTTCAGGTGTGGTGTTAACTCTCCATCACTTTAAACTCAAAGAGAATTGGATTGCTACTGAGTTCAACACAAACAAACACCCCAAAAAATTAATTCATTCAGTGTTTTTATGGGCCACAGTGCCTGATAATGTGGCTGTAAGCGTTTCAGGGCCAGTGCAGCCAAAATATAAAATATATGTGATGAGCATCACTGAGTGATGGCGTGAGCCAGCACTGGGTGATGTTTGCAGAGTGATGTGTGGTCCTTGGTCCTACTTGATGGATAAACTCTCTCCTGGGGGAAAGAAAAGTCTTTCTGCTTGGGTGAAAACATCAACCTGTTTTCACTGGGCAGAAACCCTGAGCTGACAAGCAGGGATTGTTTTTATGATTAAATGGAGCAGGTTTAAATGATCTTTAAACCCAGAAGCTGCACAAGGCACCGTGTCCCACACCAAGGGAACTCAGCGCTGGTGGCTTTGTAAATGTCCCTCACTCCTTCTCCTCCTCCCAGGTGTCCCAATCTGTTAGATTTGTGTCTAGGCACAGTGAATGAAGGAAGGAATACACCCTCAAAGCCTGAAGAAGGAGCATCTTTGCAAGACACAAACCTACAGAATAAAAACACAGAATTAGCCCATTTCCTCGTATTCCAAGAACCAGCTCTAATAATAATACAAAAGATTATTCAAGAGACATCCAAAATTCTACCAATTAAGCAAAAATTTGAAAAAAAAAACATGAAAGGAAGGAGATTTTGACATGACATCAACACAAATAATAGCCATACCTATAAAATATGGCAAACAAAATACAAATCCCAAATATGTACCACTGACAGATGAAATAATTAAAGACTTGAGGGAAACAATTATAGAGAGCAGCTTAAGCTCTCCCTACTATTGAAATACACTTTGTATTAATATTATATTAATAATGTAATAGATAATGTATTAATATATAATATATAATATATAATATAAAAATATAATATATAAAATATAATATATTAATATATTATATATTAATGTATTGTATTATATTATATTATATTATATTATATTATATTAATGGTATAATATTTTATATATTTTACATATTATATATTTATATACATATAAACATATTTTTATATATTTACATATGGATATAATTATATATATAAATTTTATATGTTTATATAGATATATTTATATATGTTTATATACCTACATTTATAAATATTTTTATATGTTTATATTTGTATTTTATATATTATATTTTTAAATATAATATTATTATTATCCAGTACCTTATGACTGCAAATATATTACCACCACAATCTTAACAGATTCACAACACATACTATAAGAAGTCAAATAGAGAAGAATTCTCACCAAATTAACATGGACTCATACTAAAGCTCATGGCTCATGGAGAATCCTTAGAATGAACTCTTCCAAAAGTGGATTTTTGTGGGATTTTCCAGTAAGAAACAAAACCCTGCAGGGAATTTTCTGGAGGGGTGTGATGGCCATGCACAGACACAACGTTCTGCTCAAGGTACCATGAGGAGACCAAACTCACTTGCTCCCGCTCTCTCATAAAGTACTTATGGAGCTTTTTAATTGCAGTTATGTGTAACTGAATCATCCCATTGGCTTAAATGGATTAAAGCAGGCATCTGCTCAAGTGTGTTTGTCAGCTGGGGCTTTAAGCACTTGGATGTGGAGATGATGAGGCTCAGAGGGCTCTGTGGAACCACCCACCCTGAGTTCTTCAATAATTCTTCAATTCAACTTCCTCAGTATTGGTTTTGTCTCACTCAGGTTATGTTCTGTCTTACTAATTGCTTATTTCTGATGGAAAACTCACCATACGTGGCTTAGTTACATCTGCAAATTGCTCATTGTGTGGGAAAAATTTTTACAGTCTGGACTTGCCTTCGTTTGTTTTTCTGGTTTGGTTGTTTTGGTTTTTTGGTTTGGTTTGGTTTGGTTTGGTTTTTTGTTTGTTTTGTTTTGTTCATTTGGTTTTTGGTTATTTTTTGGGGATTTTTCCCCCCCTGCCAGACTCAAGAGGCTTCCTTAGAAGTTTTAGTTTTTGTCCCTGATTTCCTTAGGTTTAGTGCCCTTCCCTCTTGGCATTCCTACAATTTATCTCCCCCTTTCCTTCTCTCCCTGGGGGACACTCTGTAGAAAACAACAGTCAAAACAACAAATGTGGCAGAAGGATTGAACTGAACACTTCAATTGTTGTTTTATTTAATTTTTTTGTGGGTTTAGGGATAGTTTTGATATAGTTTCATTACTGTCATATCTGGATGGCATCATAATGATGAACCACTTACATTTCCAGCCCTGCTGAAGACAAAGCCAACAGTTTGCTGTAAACAAAGATCAGATTCTACAGATTTAATTAAAGCTGACATTTCTTTCTGAGCTCTGCAAGTTTCCCCTTGCTGGAGATTCAGCCAAGGGAGATCACATCATTTATCTTGTCCCTTTTGTATTATTCCAGTAAAACAAAAAAAAAATCCAACACAAAAATTATTCTTTGCAAAGGAGAGTGGGAGTTCAGCGGTTGAGAATTTGCATGTATATCTCATATTT